TGCAACTAGCATGGAACAGACTGTCGCCTCTAAGTGTTGACTTCAATTTTCACTTTTATATTTACATTCGCTCTATCTCTGATACTGAGCACTTTATACGATAAATATAGCACAACTTAAGAGTATATTTCATCATATATATATATATATATATATATATATATATATATATATATATATATATATATATATATCATCTTGTACATTAGGGTGTCTTCTCTAGGTGTGGAAATTGCTTTATTTATTTGTGCCCCGATTAGGTCTTGTTTATAGCCACGTGTTGTGAATTGATGCTCCAGATTTTCAATGTGTTTATTTAATTCTTCATTGTTGGAACTTATTTTTCTAAGTCTAAGTGCTTGTGAATAGAAGACACCCTAATGAACAAGATTAAAAATAAATCTAGCCGCATCCCTCTAGTAACCACTTTCAATCCCACTCTGCATCCACTATCCCAAATAATCAAACGTCGCTGGGAAATACTACATCTCAAACCAGATCTAAAAAAACTGCTTAAGGAACCCGGCTTTCTTGCATATCGTAGACCTAAGAACCTAAAAGAAATCATAGGTAGTAACCACATTTCAGGGGACAAGGTAATCCGTAATAAACTAAGAACAAAAACAACAGGATGTTCCCAACCATGTAACAACAAAATAAGTTTATGTTGCAACCATATTAAACACACGAATTCATTCACTAGCTCAATCACTAAATATACTTTTAAAAACTACCACGATTCTAACTGTAGAAGTCAACATAATTTACCTCCTAGAATGCACACTATGCCAGAAACAATGTGTAGTGAAATCTGAATGGCCCTTTCACTACAGAAGTAATCATTATCGCAATCAAATTAAGTCGACTCCCCATGAAAAATTATTACCTGTAGAACAACATTTCCGCCTGGAAAACATGATTTCAAAACCCATGCCAAATTCACTATAATTGAGAGAATAGAAAAGTTCAGATCAGATAACATTAGAAAGATTTTAGAGTTCCATGAAAATAAGTGGATACAACGTCTAAAAACAAAATATCCAGCCGAGCTAAACCATAAATTTAACAATATATAAATAGTACCAATATATAACTCAACAAATCAAAACCTACCCACATTTCTCACCCACACAAGACAGATATGCTTACGGAGGTGTGGAGGCCTCACACTTATAGACACACCCACACGAATATATACACACTTACAGACATCATACTCACTCACTCCCTAATGAGCCAAATGATAACACACACCCACAGCAATACACACGCTTACACATATCATACTCACTCACTCCCTAAGAACCAAATAACACATACATAAACACTAAACAGAGACACGTCCCATCTCCAGGACCAATAAAACTCTCAAACTGGTCAAAGGAATTCAGAGAAGCATAGACCCATCCAGCTCTTATCTCAAATAACAACTTAAAAGAGACTAACACAAGGAATGTTAAAAGATTCATGTTAAAAACATAAAAACATAAAAGAAAAAAAATGAAAACTACAGACAAAAGTTCATTTTCTCCATCAAGGCATTCATTTCTGTAGTTCACTGATACCAGCAAACAAAAATATTTCTTCTCTCGTCTAAAGATTTTAATTTTTAATATTTTTTATTGTTCAATATATATATATATATATATATATATATATATATATATATATATATATATGTGTGTGTGTGTGTGTGTGTGTGTGTGTGTGTGTGTGTGTGTGTGTGTGTAATGAAAAGTTTCGTAGTCCGTATGGATAATCCCATGGATGATGTAATCCAGATACATCAATGCCAAAGGAGAACAAATATTGATTTAATTAAAAAATAGACAAACTTAAGTCTCCATTGATTATATTTTATTTCATCACGACAGATCTGTCGACCTACTCCACCTCTCTCTATCACCTTACATCAACTTAAATCTACCCCTCAACAGTGTATAATACGTAAATTTAAAAAACTTTTTTTATGCTTGTAAATGTGATCTGAAGAACCAGGAAAAACACACCTTTCTGCGGAAATAACATATAATCATTGGGACCTTTGTCTGTTTTCTAATTTTATATATATATATTGTGTATTTAGACAGCAATCCCTCTTTTATACATGCTTCGTTAAAGACAAATGGTAAGCTACTGCGATTAAAATTTTTGTTTAATTTTTCTTGTGTTCGTACAAGTGTTTTAATTTCTGGACACAAAGTGTGTTAAAACTGTCCAAATCTGATGCATTTCAGAGTACTTTCGGCTATACTATTAGACATTATCTAGGATGATTTAGTTTTTACTTTTTAACTGAATGTATGGTTTGTTTGTATGTATCTAGTGTTATAGGGTTTTTTTATTTTCCAAAAACGGTGAGCACGTTGTGGCCGTGTTCGTAATTAATGTTACAATGTTGACCTTTTCTTTTTATATTATCAGGGCTTCCATAATGTTTAATCTTTTTTTTTACGTGTGGATGAGGTTATTATGCTTGCATTTTCTAGTAGTATGTTTCGGATTGAGTCTGGTATGATTTTATATATGCATTTTATATCAGTTTTTGTATTGATCTGTTGATTCGTTTTCTACGGCTTATCAACCCATACAGGTTATTTAAAGCCAGAAATATTTCGCTTAGATTGGAAATGTTTTTGAGTTAATAAATTTATAGTGATACAAGTCTTACTATTTAGCGCATAACTCTGAAGAATAACACGAACCCACTGAGAATTGGAACTCGACACTCCGATTAATAATTACGAGCCATTATCCATTACACCATCCGCGCATCTAAGCTTGCTTCACTAGTTATCCCCAAACAGTCACCCATCTAGGTACTGACCAGGTTCGACTTTCCTTAACTTCGCTGATTGTACAGGAACCGATGTTTCAATTTTATGTGGCCGTTAGCCTCAATATTTATGGGTTGAGAATATATGGACAGTTATATCAGCGTGTTTCTTTCTAGAATAGATTCAGATGTCTTCGCAGTTGACAAAGGAGGTTTGGGATCTGGCCTTACTGACAAAGTTTTAAAAAAAAAACCAAAAAAACAAAAAACTCGAATTAATCAATATGTGAGGTATCCGACAGGTTTTGTTTAAATAAAATGTGTATGTTTATGAGGAATTTGAATGCTATAAGGAATTGGTTTATATTTTCATATATATTATTACTTGTTTCTTTATTTCATGTGAAAAAATGTCTGATGTTTATACACCTGCAGAGAATTCGCTAGAATTTGGTATAAATTGGTATAAAACTTTCTTGGATGAAAATTTGATATTGCCCGATTTGTAAATTATTTTTATTTAGAAAGCGTCCTCAAATCACCAGATCAAAAGAATATTTTTCTCACCTGTAATCCGGGGAAATTTGAATATAGAGATACTGCAATTAATGAAAAAGTTAAAAAAAAAAAAATGTAACAAATATGTGATATCTGAAAATAAGAATTTGAATATATAATGAAATGTTGTCGATTAGTTAAAGACAACGGGAATTTGTAATAATCGAATTGTATAAAGTATTTTTTCTGAAAATATTGCAGCCATATAAGATCTGGTTCTCCAGTTATATATCCCGAGATTCTCGATAAAATCCAAATAAGCGTCTTTAAGGTTATTGGTCCCGACCTGGCATCTCGACTTCAGTCACTTTCCGACCGCCGTGAGGAGGCTTCACTCTGTATTTATTTATTTATTTTTTTAAAAATCAATTCACCTCAAGCTAAGCGGTAGTACCCCTAGTAATTTAGTGGGCTATAGAAAGTGAAAGTGAGAGAAAAGACTGAGTATAGGAAGGATTGAGAAAAACATAAAAGGTGAACGGAATTCAAGACAAAAGAAAATGGCGAAGTTCGTAGTTATCAGGAAAGAAGGAAGAAGAAATGAGTTCTACTGTCGGGAACCGCAGAAAAAGAAAATATTGGAGTAGAAGTGGCGGTTATATTTAACTCTTTCAGCAGTAAATGGGTGAGACTTAGATGTCAATATAGTAGCACGCTTAAATTCGTGTAGTCAGGGCAGCAGAGAAAAAACTCGTCTCAGCAGCTGCCATGAAAATATTTGTAGAAAAGACATAGGGAGGCTACATCATGCCTGTGAGAAAGTGACTGAAACCGAGATGCCAAATCAGGATCGATTGAATTGGCAGATCTTTCTTTGGATTTTGTCAAAAAACTCGAGATGAACAGCCGGAGCCACCAAACCAGATATGGTAGCAGTATTCAATGCACGGACGAATAGTAGATTTGCAAATGTCTAAGATGGACTCTGACGAGAAAAAAACACAATGAACTAACTTTCCTTGCAGGAGATGTAACTATCGATTCAATATAATTGTTCCACTTAAAATCGGTCGAAAATGTGAGACCAATAAATCGCAGTGAGTATCAGCCATACTGATAGACAGCAGGTAAGTTTCTCTTTGGTGGTTAAATGAGAGCAGTTTAGTTTTGGAAGTATTAAAATTTGAAAGCCATTTCCAGACCCAGCTAACCATTGATTTGAGGTTCTTTTCGAAAGTGGCGGCCGGGTTAACTATATCAGCGTTAATAGATTTAGTATTGAGACATGAGTAAATAGTAGTTTAAACTGCATAGATGCTTACTTGGGAAATAAATATTTTCATTTCTTCTCATCTTTGGTTACATCCTCCACACGGATTTAAGCGTACTTCTAGATTGGCAGTTAGGTCACATCGTTTTATTGTTGAAGTAGCTAGATGTGATTTACACTAGATTCTAATAGTTTCTAATCTAGCGATATAGGCATATATCTGGACAATCTTAATCAGTCCTTGAAATTAAAACTCGATTCTAGCCGTTCTGACAATATTCTAATAGCTTCTTTTCTCGGACTTCTCGGTTTTGAAACACTCTTCTACTTTCTTGATTCTCTGTTACCTATGATCTTCAAAAAATCTAATGCAATGACCATCGCAATCTTTTGTCTTCTGAATTCAGTCTTTTATTGTCCGTTCTCCTCACTAAAATCTTCTCGTAACCTTTCGGCTTACGACCACATCACATTGAAACAACGGATCCCGTACGATCACTGAAGTGAAGCAACATCGAACTTGATCAGTACCTAGATGGATAAGCGCTTTTGAATACCAGGTGCAGTAAGCTTGGATGTTTAATGCTGTAAAGGTAACAGAGATGTTTCACAATCATGGGAATATTATAGACGTAGCAAGTGATCAAAAAGGTAGTTTTAAGGAAAAATGGAAACAAAAAAGGGGGCTTGTACATAGAATCAGAAATAGACTTAAAATTTTTAGAGCACACAACAAGTAAAGATGAATTGGAAAAGCTGATACTCATTTACATATTAAAGGCTGGAATGGCAGACAGAAACATAAAGTAAACTACTTAACGGGTTTGTGAAAATTGATGCCGGAACGGAGAAAAATATTGCTAAGAGATACAAAAGAAAGGAAATTGCGGATAGCCACGATCATTCATCTCTTGAATAGCCAAGGTGCATAGAAGAATAATGTAACTGACTGATAACCAGTTCTGAATAAAATATTGAATGTCATGGTAATGGTAACATCAGGCGTTTCCTAATAAGGAAACATTTGGCATTCTTATACGGTAACAACCAGTACTTGTGTAGGTTGCAATTTATAAAATCTTTCTCATAAAACATTTTTTTTAGAAACATAGTCTTCTCAAGTCCAGTAAATATTATCGATCTTTATAGTATTGATGGGAGCCTTATTTATAACGTTTTGCTAGATGTAGAATAGATCGTAAACATTTTGGTTTTGGAACTATTTCTTTCCAATTACATGTGATATCCCTTTATATAGTTACTGCTGTGAATGTTCCTCAAATGATGCTGTTTCTTATATTAGATACATTTCTTGTTTTTGATCCTATAACCCCAGTCCACAGGAGTCGAAGGACGGTCTTCACTCGCTAAAAGCCATTTTTTTCTATTTGAGAAAGCTTTTGTATACGGAAGATACCTCAGATATTTCCAAACGGATATAGCGCTACGCATGACGTCCATATGAATGTCTCGAATTGATGAAACTAAGAACATGACTCGTGTTTATCAGATAAAGTTTTGGTATTGTGCCAAATCGATGTGTTGAGCGAAACTACATCTAGACCAGCCTATTCTATGACATCCCGTATCTTGCTTCCGATAATTTTTTCTTGTAAACCTTTAATGAATGCTAGTAAAATAATGTAAATGTGTGTGATATTCACTATTTATTATATAATAATTATTAATTATATTAACGCTTACTTATGTGTAGCCCATTTGAAAGGAATCGGTATTAGCCTGTACAGGTGAATCTGGCACGTATGGATAACAATAACCTTAACCTCGTTCTTTTCGCAGATGCCTGGTTGGTTGACTAATTGAGAGCTTTATGAAAAATTTCTATTTTAGATACTAACTACATCTTTAAAAAAAGTGAAAGGAGGCGGAAGGCAAAACAAAGAAAATAAAAAAAAAGAAACAACGTCTTTCATCTTACTCGGATCCCCGCTTTCCCAATTAGCGATTGATATTTCAAAGGTTATCACACACAGGATCATAGATGCTTTAAATTCACGAATACATTATTTTTTAGGAAACATATGTACGCATGCGCAGTAGACAGATAGGACAGATTCCGTGAACTATTCAGAAGTCTAATTATAGCGAATACTCCCATTACAAAATGGATGCATTTTAACTCTTGTTTTGCATATTTCTGTAATCACTTAGGCGGCATTATACATTGTAGTATCTTAGAAAACAAGGGAACGATGTAAAGATCACTACTATAAGATATAGATGCATTTTCTGGCGGGGTTTCGGTGCGATCGTGGCTCGGGTGATGGGATATGATTTTGTCGACGGCACAGTATAATAGGGCTAATCAAGCACATTCTTTGAGAAAAAGTGCGCTATGAAGCAGCCAGAAATTTTGGAACGGCATGTTGTACTGCTTGTCATTCGCACCGGAACCTCCAAAACAAATATTTCAGAATGTTTAGGTGTCAATCTGAGGACAGTGCAGAGGATTAGGAAAGAGTTAGATTAGTCTGATGATTGATTACTAAGGCGTTTGGAGTGTCTCAGTCTCAACACGGAGGCCTACATCGTGCCCCGAGGAGGTAGAGCTGCCGAAGGTCAAGAGTGTGGCTGCTGGAACAACCCTACGTCTCACAATAGGACTGCACCATGCTACAGAAACAGGAGAACTGTGTTATGCCCATCAGACAATTTCTATAACCATATTACCAGTAATATCTGGCCACCTAACTCCCCAAACTGCAACACTGTTAATTATTATGTGTGGGGCGCGCTTGAGGGATAAAAGCAACAAAATTCCATGTAGCAACAAAGACGAACTAAAGGCAAGAATTATGGCAGCATTCCCCGAATTAAACAATAGAGACCGTCTAGAAGAGATGCGTGAGATTCTGAAGTCATCTGGAGGTCGTGGTCGAAGTCAGCGGCGATTTTATTAAATAAATTTACTCTTTATTATGTCACGATATTTTTCTGTAATTTTGGTAAATATATCTGATAAAATGAGATGCCATTATTATTTTCATTTTTGCGTAATTTAGCCGACAATTTATCTATCGCACCCGATATTGTTTTACTCTTTTAATTAGAACAGCGGTTATATATATATATATATATATATATATATATATATATATATATATATATATAAAACTTTGGTCAGTCTCCTTACAGTGAGCAACTAATTCATTTAACGTGTTGTTTTGCAAAATATACCTTTCAGGTTCATATAATCTTCGCTTTCAATTCCTTGAGGGTTCTCCGATGTATTCCTTGTGGCTACTATTACAGGCAATAGAGTAAATTCCCCCATCAGGGTGTAGCATATTGTTTTTGTTTATTAAAAATTTAGTGTTTTAGACACGGTTGTGAAAAATTGTATGTTGAGTCTAGATATGTTTTCAATTGTTGTTGTGATACAGTTAATTGGTAGAATAATACAATTTTTAGACTCATTAGATTTATCAGAAATGACCACTTTTCTATTTTGGAATAATTCATGTCCCTTTTGTTTCGCATTCAATAGAAAATAGTTTACTAGAGAAAAAAGAATGTATTTTCAATGTATTTTTTTCTTCGTGTTAATAATGAGGGCTGCAAATTCTGAGTGCTCTTAAGTAGGATTCGATGATTATTCCGGATTTTATTTTGTTGTTATGATGGGAATAAGACTTTATAAGATCATCTTTGGTAGCGGAATTTCGTTGGACAGTAAGTATTATGCTATTGTTAACGTGGTGTAACGGAATATCTGGGAAATTAAAGTATTCTTTTCTTCTATTTCATATGTAAATTCTATTGTAAGTTCGATTTTCTTTACTTTATTTACAAGGTCAGTTAAATCGGTGCCCCATTGATGTATTAATAGAGCATCATCAATATATGACAACTCTGTTGATTGTTAGGTAAAATATTTTGGAAAGGAGCAGATTCGAGAAATTCTAAGAAGATACATATTATCAGTCTATTCGATTGGCAATCCAATTTTTATATAAAGTATTATTAAATATGAGATAGCATTGATCCTTGAATAGACGACAGTTTTTTTTAAAATTATTTTAGCTCTTGGTAGGGGGAGGTTATCTTTTATTGTGTTCGATGCATTTTTAAAAGAATTAAACATTTTTCAACTGGGAACTTCGTGTAAAGTGATTTCATACGTAGACTGGCCATATTTGTTTCCCTTAGTTTTCAACGAAGTTGCCTGAATTTCTTTTTAATATTTGATATGCTGATTGATCCAAAGAGAGAAGTTAAACGTTTTGTCATGTGTGACACCATTTACCAGCACAAAAAGAAAAGAAAAAAAGAAAAAAAAAAAGAAAGGAAAAAGAGAAAGAAAAGAAAGGAAAAGAGAGGCGAGACTTAAGCTTAGATGATAAAAGAAGCCACCCACGACCGGAGACATTGACAATGTTATTTTGATAAGTAGCAAATGGCGAAAGGTTTCATTACCATTGCAGGAAAATTCTAAATGGATAAGAAAATCGACTATGTTCTGGTGGCGAACTTGTGATATCGGGGATAGATAACAACCACTTAATGCTGGCGAACATCTAATTGACAAATTCCAGATCGGCTAGCTAAACTCCGGGAGAATATATAAACATTTAACTGTGTGCCGGACTGCTGACCACCCAGGAACTAAGGAAAACAAAAGGAAATAGGTTAGGTCTTCGTCCAGGGAAAGGTATCGTTAGACAAGGTCTAGGTTTTGTTAGAATGTAGCGATAAGGGCGAAACAATATTATCGGAAGGGTTGGCCGTAATTGCTGGACAACCACCCATTCTGATAATTGGCGAAAATCTGACTGACGAAGTCCAGATTAGAATTGAGGTTATCACACTACTGGTCGCATTGATCTGTTGGCGGCCAGAGAAGATGAGAGCTGCGATTAAGGAAAGAAAAGGAAAAGAAAAAGATAATTTTTTTTTTTGAGCAAGATGTACTTTTTTTCTTCTTAAAACAAAGCCAGCTGGATCACACACACCCGGCTGGACGCCATTGGCCGAATGATAACGAGGGCCAGGCGGAGGTGATCACGTGACGCAAGGAGGGAAGCCGCCGCCGCCCATTTAGAGGATAGGTATGAGAAGTTGCTACGAAGAAGTGCGGAGAACCGTTGACGCCCCTCTGAAGTATGGTGAGATATCCATTTGAGAATAAGAGAAGGTGGCAGTAATAGAAGACTTCCAAAAATGGAAAGGAGTGGAAAATTCCTAACCAAAAATAAAAGAAGTGGATATGGATTTAGAATTATCGAGGAACCCCCAACCCCGACAAACCCACTCCGGTTTTGGTCGGCGTCCATATAAGCAAAGTCGGAGCGAGCAAAAATCAGTTCCGAGGTCAGCAGAGAAGAGTTCAGAGTTGAGTTCAGTTCAATCCAGAGTGCTCAGTTGAGGCAAGCCTCGCAGCTGACTAAGATTCGCGCAACTTCCGAACTCATCTTCAATCCAAGAACAATTTATTTTGAAGAGCGACTTAGATCCACACCACCAAAATAAGTTTTTTCGACTTTCGCCTGAAGACACACCAAGAACCAATTTCTTAAAGAACTGACAACTTAAGATGTTAAAACTTGCCT